GATCATATTTCCTGTAGAAATGAGCACACGCACGAAGTATTTCCTGGTCGTTCGGATGCAAGGCTTCTCGTGCAGAGTTTGATATTACATCGAGATGTTTGGCTGTGTGATGGAACGTTCAAAGTTTGCCCGATTCAATTTTATCAACTCTACACCAAACACATTCAACTCCAGCCCTAAGTTTCGTACCAGTTGAAATGGTCAATGCTGCTTTTGACTTGGTCATTGAGGAAATCGAAAACGTGTCGGACAAATTTGATCTTGACGACAATATCACTCAAAAACTTGATGAGGTAGCCTCATACTTTCAGCGCACCTACATTAAAGGCGAAACCATCGGAAGGAATTCTCGCGAACCTCTCTTCCCAGTAAACCTTTGGAATCATTCCGAAGAAGCAGCTGCTGGGTTAATAAGGACAACAAATGCTGTAGAAGTCTGGCATCTTGGCGTTGCTACTCTCTTCAAAGGAAACCACCCATCCGTTCACACCTTTCTGGAACAAATAAAACTGGATGCTGCAAATCAGAAATTTAATATAATGAAAGCAATGGGAGGAAACAGCAACCCCAGTCGAAAGAAGTACAGGGAATTGAACGAGAAAGTGAAAAACATTTGCAACAATTTTAACAAAGATTCTATTTTAACCTATTTGTATTCTCTCGCGCAATTAAGTCATTCCTTACTCAGTTTATTTTAACAAACTTTGTGAATTTTTCAAAAATTCAATTTAATTTCTAAAAAAAATACACTTTTTGAGGTTCCCGTGGCCGTAGAGGGCTGAAATTTTGGGAGGTAATAGAGGCCAATACCAAAAGAATTTTACCTTCTCCCTCACCCCGCCCCCCAGTACCGCCTTGGCCTGGTACTGGGGGGTCTACCCCTCCTTTTGTGATCAACTAGTCAACCCTCAGTAATTTTTGAATTTCATTCAAAATTTGACTTCTTGGTGATTTGATCTTTCGAGCTTTTGATTTTCAAACACAGGCATTATCCGCTACGCTATGTCGACTTGATGTGATATGACTTTTGTTTGTTTAAGAAATAGCCGCAACGCATTTCTATAGCAACATTGGATTAAAATTTCTGTTCGTTCATGCTTTGAACTCATTTCCATTTTGAACGCGCAAGTTTTACGTTGCTTTGATATTTTGTTCACGTGCGTCAATTATTCTTTGATCATAATTAATGGTTCTTTGATTTGTTCGGAAATATACTGTTTCGGATTCTTCAAGAGGATGGGGTAAGTTTCAATTGTTTTAATTATAGGGTAGAATGGTATAGGGTAGATTGGAATAGGGTAGAATGTCATGGAACCAAAAAACAAAAGGAAAGATTTCGCTCCTTGTAACAAACCAATTATGGCAAATAAGCTTCTTCTAACCAATTTGGAACGATTTCTAAGACGGATTAACTCTCCGCTTACGCGTTAATAGCTCGAAATATATCGCGCGGTAATTGTCCCAAATTGGCCAAAATGGAAATCTTTAAACCCCCGTAACTTTACGAAAAATGATCACAGGTGAAATATCTTTTCAAACTTGATCTCAAGACAGCAATACCTTTCGAATGATATAAGAAATTCCGTCAAAAATGGCTAGTTAAAAAGTCGAAATTTGTCTGAAGAAAAAAAACCCACCCCGAGCACAAATATTCCGTTACTTTCGTATCGAAAGTCGGTACAATAATATAACATAAGGGCCACCAAATGAGATCTTTATTAGCAAATTAGGTTGAGAAAAGCGAGTCAACTCAATACACTGCGCCTGCTAGCTTGCAAGTGTAAAAACGAAATGCAAATCTATAAAGCAAACAAGCCAGACTTCTCAATACCGAATAACTTTTCAAAAGTTTTCTAGTCTCGATGAAATCACAACCGAAAAGGCTCCAACAACATATTGCTCTCTACCCCATCTGACGATTTTTTTGCGATACCTGGTTTTTAGAAACAGAAAAAAACTGAAATGCCCAATACAAAGATCGAAATTCATTTTCACTTCATCATGTGTAGTTTGTATATTTCAGTCTTAACATTCGATCTTATCCAAAATTATAGCTATAAATCGTTTTTAATTAAAAAAAAAACAAAATTAGACTAGACCATCGGTGAATACGAAGTTTGCATGGTGGCAAGTTTTTAGAAAAGTCAACTTCACTCAATTTTTTTTTTCGAAAAAAAAACTACAAAAAATCTGCAAAATTTCACAACCCGCGAAAACGCGCAATGTTTTAAAACTATTTGTTTGATTATAAATTTGTGTTCAACGATTAACCGTCCAGGAAACCTAACGACTGAATGTACGAGTTCCAATTGATAAAAACCTATGGAAATCGAGTTGGTTGGCTTTGCTGGTGTTTAATATTCATCCAAATCTAAAGCGGTCCAGCAGACTTTTAGTAAATACGTATTTCGTTAACAAGTTTCAACCCGATGCAATAACTTATACGTTGTACAGTAAAAACGTGCCTCCAAACTTTAAAGCGACACGTCGCTGAACAAAAGAAAGTAAACAAACACAGTTTGGACGTTCTTGCTGCTGAGAACACCACCAATTGACATGACACTTTCATATAGGAGGAAAACTGAGTACAACGAGGTTGAGAAAAACTATATGGCTCACTTCCATTACGAGGCCAAACTGTGCATTCTCTGCATTGTAAGCGGAATCCGCAACAGGCCAAAATCAGATTTGTCGTGGAATCCGCAAGATTGCTACTTTTCTTTGATCTTCATTGCTGTTTTGGATTCCACAAACAAATACCTAAATCATTGTATCGCTCAAAATCGTTCCAAAAATAGGCGAATTTGCGGAATCCAGAACAGTTTGTGGAATCCATAAACAAATGATAAAATATTTGTACCGTTAAATTGAGCTGTTGCGGAATCCGCAACTGTAAGTGGAATCCATATAATCCAAATTATATGGCTCTAATTATCTACACCAGATACATCGTATATGTCGTATCTCATTCTGGAATTTCTCGTCGAAAACCTGAGCACAATTCTACGATCTAACTTCCCGAGGCAAATCGTACAAATCTTGCTCTAATCACCCTCTCTGGCCTAGTAAAACATTTCCCCCGAACGACTATTGCCCAAAAACCAGACAAAAGAAGCTAAAAATTTGATGCAACATGGGATCCGATTGATCATGAATAAAAGAAAAACCACACTGGAAGTTTTTTCTGAAATCAAGTTTTTTTTTATAGTTATCTATATATCCTCTGTCCTGAATATGATTGTTAAGTGTTTATCACTTACCAATCATATCCCATAACTAATATTAATATCTATCACTTTATCTTCCGACTGTCCGCAGAGTCAAACCGCGCTTTCTTATTGATTGAAGTAAAATTGATCTCACAATAATTGCTTAACCAGTAGTGTTTAGGATCTATTAATAAGACCAATGTTAGACTATGAAGATGCACGACCTATCTGTTCAAAAATAGTTGGAGAAACAGACGGTGTACCCTTATCTAAAATTACTATATATTTAACCACCACCCGGTTATCACTAAAGAGCAACCTGTTACGTACGCTTATTGTTCCGACTTTCGATACGAAAGTAACGGAATATTTGTGCTCGGGGTGGGTTTTTTTTTTCTTCAGACAAATTTCGACTTTTTACCTAGCCGTTTTTGACGGAATTTTTTTATATCATTGAAAAGCTATTGTTGTCCTGAGCTCAAATTTGAAAAAATGTTTCACCTGTGATCATTTTTCGTAAAGTTATGGGGGTTTAAAGATTGCCATTTTGGCCAATTTGGGACTATTAACGCGCGATATATTTCGCGCTATTAACGCGTAAGCGGATATTTAATCCCTCTTAAGATCGTTCCAAATTGGTTGAAAGAAGCTTATTTGCCATAATTGATTTGTTACAAGGAGCTAAATTATCCTTTTGTACCTTATATGGCGTGTGGGGGGATGATTTTGATAAAAAATTTCAAATTTTAGAAAAAAAATTTTTTCATTTTATTTTATTACATTTAATTTTTTTCATGTTATTACTGCTCCATAAAACCTTAAAAGGCTGTCGGAACATTCAGGGCTTCGCCCTGATACGAGCAGTCTTGTTGTATTCTGCATTTACTTAGGATGTTCATTCTTCAATCGGAAATCACTGCTTGGCATCAACTTTAAATCATAAGCAACATTTGAAAATTCCATGTCTTCCTGCTTCAATGGTTGGACTAAAAAAATCCGGCGAATTGAATAAAAAACTTGAATCTCGTTGGTTTTCGGATTAAGTAAAACATTTAAAAAAACATTGCCTTGCCTCGATCGGTCAACGCAAACTATTGGCAACTCAGGAAACCCAAAGACCTACACTTATTAACAATTCGTTCACCACAGTATTTTTGAGCCATAGAAATCAAAGCTATTGTTTTGAGCAATATAAATCAAAACAAGGAAAGCAATTCAGATGCGTTTTGATTCAATCGGTTATAGTTCTTGATAAATTATGCTGAGCAACATGTTACGTACGCTTTATTGTATTCTGCATTTACTTAGGATGTTCATTCTTCAATCAGAAATCACTGCTTGCATCGACTTTAAATCATAAGCAACATTTGAAAACTTCATGTCTTTCTATTTCAATGGTTGGACTTTAAAAAATCCGGCGAATAGAATAAAAAAATAATTTGAATCTCTTTGATTTTCGAATATAGTAAAACAATAAATTAGATTACGTGACTCCAACGGTCAACGCAAATTATAGTTAACTCAGGAAATCCGAAAATCTACAATTATTAACAATTCATTCACCACTGCATTTTTGAGCCATAGAAATCAAAATAAGAACAAAACAATGAAAGCAATTCAGATGCGTTTTGATTTAATCAGTTATAGTTCTTGATAATTATGCTGAGATCAAATTTGAGAAAGTTTTTTTTCTTCGCATGTTTGATTTTTATGATTATCACAATAACACACGTAACTCATTATGACACTGTCAAAAATAGAGTTAAAAAGAGATTATTTCTGGAAGAAAAAATGTACACCTTCGGGAAAGAAGCAGACAAAACGGGTGAGCTGACATCGAAATACTCTGATTTGACTCTTATTTGCGACAACTTTGCGAATGAGAGCGCTTCGAAACTTCTTGTTAATTGGAGTTCTCTAGAGCGTCATCGGTTCAACGCGAAAACTCTCGACTACATTTCATCAGCAACTTGTGAAAAATATTTCGCCGAGCATTTACACTTCAATGAGAGAGAATCAGTGAATGATTTAGAGAGAGAGTTTCCAATCGCCTTCGGAATTTTGGTTTACCATAATTTCGATCAAGTCGAGCAGTTGCTGAGGTTGATCTACAGGAAGAACAACTTCTACTGTTTCCACGTCGATGAAGGGGCGGATAAAGAGTTCAAATACATGGTATGATTTTTACCTTGTCACTAAAATTTTTTTTACAAAGTAACAACCAAATTTTGGTTTCAAATTTGTTCTCTTATGAAAGCCGATCAATACTTAATATGTAGATGAAAAAAAGGAAATATTTTTCAGTCACAGCCAAAATTAATTTTACGGTTCCCGAGACTTTCCAAAATTTTAGACATATCAAAAAAATCATCAATTGAGCAAGAAGACCTTTCTTCACAGTTTTACTTTTACCTTTTTTCTTTTGTAACCTTAAATCTATACTAAAAAGTATGAGTAAGAGTTCGATATATCAGATATCCTCTAAAGTGATTTTTCAAAAAGTTTAATCGCAAGTACTTTTAGATGCAGTGGCTTGTAGATTGCTTTCCGGAAAACGTCTTCGTGGCCTCAAATCCTGTCGACATCACTTGGGGAGACGTGTCTATTCTGAAAGCGGTTCTTCAGTGTATGGAAAATCTTCTGGCCCGATCTGACAAGTGGAAATATTACGTGCACTTGACGGGGGAAGAGTTTCTTCTGGTCACAAATTTAGAGCTAGTCACTAGCCTTAAAAACTTGAAGGGTGCAAACTTAGTTGAAGGTTGGTGTATGCTGAAATTATTTTATGCTCATTAAAGTCTCGCAAATACAGTAAATTGAAATGATGTCCCAGACAAAGTTAAAATTATGATCAGGTAATTTTGTCTGGATATTTTTCTGGAACAAAATTTTCTGAGAATAAAAGTCCCGACTTGCAAAACGGAGTAGTAAATTTGAAAAATAGCAGTTTCTGATTTTTTTTACGCAATCGGTTCTTAATTCTGGGCAATTTTGGAGAATTTTTTGCTTATCACTTTTTTTCTAATTCTTAGTTGACTTTGAGCGCTATGCTTTTTTCCTTTTTCTTTATTTTGACATTCTTTTTTTAATAGCTGAAGAATGAGGAGAAATGATGGGCAAAAATTCAAAATTGAATTCACCTGTTTTTAAGGTACTTCTTTGAAGCCAAACATGGACAGATATCCGGAGCAACTTCCTTACGATTTGAAGAAATATAAAAGCTCATCCCACATTGTTCTAAGCCACGAAGCGGTCGAATTTGTGTTAAAAAGCCAAATTTCCAAGACGATTTTCGGTGCTTTGCACGATTACAACTCACCTGAAGAGTCTTTTTTTGCAGTGTTGCAGTTCAATCAAAAAAGTAATTTTCCCGGAAGTTTGCCAGTTGAAAATGCTACTAGGAGCAAAAACTTACAAAGAACCAGATTTGTAGAATGGATCGATAAAAAAAATTCTTCATGTGTCAGTGGTAAAGTTCAAAGAAGAATTTGTATTCTAGGAGTAAAACATTTGTCTCTTTTGACCCGAAAAGCGTATCCAAACTACTTAGCTGCCAATAAATTTGTCTGGGGATTTCAACCCCTAGCTTGGGACTGTATGTATCTATGGCAGCTGAAAAAAGTCGAGCAGGAATATCAAACGCAACGAGTATCACGGCTTCAATATAAATAACTCGTCCCATTCCGATGATTATTTGTGGTACCTGCGTGGAAAACAAAACGAAAACTTACCCGAATACAACGGTTCATCCGCATATTTCAAATCGTCGGAGCAATTAATTGCATAGAACTTCCGCCACGGATGTTTGTGCTGGGTCGAAAAAAAAATGTATCAATATATAAATTATAGTAATCATCGACTCTTTTCCGCTCCACCGTCCTACATCATCAACTTTCTATTTTGAAAAAACTAAATATGGATATTCGATAGATCATATATTCAATTTCATTTCTTCTTGTCTTTATTTCGAAGATCAAGATACATTTGTGATGGTAGAAAAGTGATGGGACAATACTATCCTTGCAAAAATCATTAGCCTTTTCCGCTCCTCCATCCTACATATCCAAATTTTCTTTTTAAAAGAAAATCAAATGGGTAATCATTACATAAAATTTCCCGATTTTGTTTCTGTCATTCCTTATTTCAAAAATGAAGATATATTTCTAATAGGTCGAAAAGTGATAAGACAATCATCGCAAATTTTTAAACAATCAGAAAAAATCGAGAGACTACCTTTCCAAAACTGATTTCTGCCTATCTTATTTCAAAGATCAAGAAACAATTATGATGGATGCTAGAAAAATTTAACAAAAAGTTCTTTGAGAAAATCAATAATTTTTTTCCGATCTTCCCTCCTAAATACTCAGTATTCAAGGGACTATATATTCAATTTTTGTTTATGTTAGTCTATATGTCAAAAATCTAGACATATTTGTGATGGGTCGAAAAGTGGTGATGGAACAGCATGCTCCTTGAAAGAGTCACTAGCTTTTTTGCTCCTCAAAAAACAATTCAATTAGGCATTCAATACACTTAATATTCAAACTTTGATTATGTCATTCCTTTTTTTCAAAAACAAAGATACATTTTGATGGGTCAGCAAGTGATGAGACAACACGTTCTTTGAAAGAATCACGTGTTTTTTCGCTCCTAAATCTGGCATATCAACGTTTTTATCATTAAAAAATTTAAAATTTTCAAGATATTACATATTCAAAACTGGTTTCTGTCTATCTTATTTCAAAGATCAACATAAAATTGTGATAGGTGCAAAAAAGATGGGACAAAACGTTATGTGAAAGAAAGAATCGATATGTTTTTCCGCTGCTCAATCTTACATTTTCATGTTTCTATTTTGAAGAAAATTAAATGGGTATTCAATAGACTAAATATTCGAATATTGTTTCTGTCCTTTCTTATTTCAAAAATTTAGATACATTTCTGATGGGTCGAAAAACGATGATACAATATGTTCCTTGAAATAATCATTAAATTTTTCCGCTTTTGCATCCTATATATTCAAACCTCCAAGTTGATTATATTTCAATACGCATATAAAAAACTACCTATTGAAAATTTGCGTATTCCACTTATTTTAAGAAAGATCATGACACATTTGAGGTGGAACAAACAAGATGGTCAAAATAAAAATAGAGCTGTTTTATGCTCCCACGTCCAAGATAAAAAAGTTTCAGTTTTGATGAAATTCGAAATACACAAGAAAAGATATAAAAGTTTCAACTTTGAAGAAATTCGAAATACTCAAATTTCTGTCACTCCTCATTTCAAAAATCTTCTGACAAAAGTGTCCGTTTTTAAAATTTCTGAAATATTCAGGAGACTACATACTCAAAACTGGTTTCTGTCTACCTTATTTCAAAGATAATAATACAATTGTGATGGGTGCAGTAAGGACGGGAAAATTTTTTCTTCAAGAGAATCAATAATGCTTCCCGCTCCTCAATCCTACATGTTCAACTTTCCATTTTGAAGAAACTCAAATGGGTATTCAATAGAATGAATATTCGTATTTTTTTTCTGCACTCTTTATTTCGAAACCAATGTGCATTTCTGATGGGTCGACAAATTTTTCTTTGAGAAAACCATTTCCTTTTTCCGCTCCTACATCCAACACAAAAATTTCTAATTTGAAAAAAATCAGAAATATTCAAGAGACTACATATTCAAAATTGGTTAGTGTCTTTCTTATTTCAAAGATCAACAAACGATTATGATGGGTGCAAAAAAAAGGGACAAAACGTTTCTTGAAAGCACCAATAATGATTTCCGATCCTCAATCCTACATTCCTACAAAAACTCAAATTTTGATTCTGTCATTCGTTATTTCAAAAATCATGCTGCAGTTCTGATGGGTCAAAAACTATTGAGACAACATGTTACTTGAAATAATCATTAACTTTTTCCGCTTCTCTATCCAATCTCATCAAAATCTCATTTTGAAAATAATTCAAATGGGTATTTAATAGACTACATATTGAAAATTTGCTTTTTTCACTATCTCAAAGATCATGAAAATTAGAGGTTAAATAATTAAGATAGTCAAAATATTTTTTAAAGCTTTCATCGATTGTTTTACGCTTTCCCATCCAACATCTAAGTTTCTATTTTGAAAACAAAATGAAATACTCAAATAACTTTTTCAGCTTCTCCATCCATCATATTCTAGTTTCCTTATTAACAAATATTAGAATGGGTATCCACAGGACTAAAATTTCAAAAAATTTTCTTGTCACTCTTCATTTCATAAATCGCATCGAATCGGTTCACTAACAATTATTCTTGTCACTCCTCATTTCATAAATCGCATGAATCGGTTCACTAAAAATTAGTTTTTATAAGCAAGGAGAAGGCTGGTTTTGTTGATTCGTTTCAGACTGGAATGAATTTGTAACGAAAATTTTGAACAAAAAATGATAAGGTAGTCTAGCTTTGAAGTTGAATCGAGTTTCTTTTGTTAAATGCGTTTTGGATCTTTTCCAAAAATAATTCTTGAATACTCGAGACTTAAAAAAAATTCAAAGTTCCACAAATTCTTGCCTTAACGCCTCTTAAACATTGAGCTTGATGGTTATTCTTGAGTGCTTCTTATGCATTGCGACCTAAGATTTCTTAAACATTGTAAACGATAGAAAAGTTTAAATGTTGCATCCATAGCGCATGAAGATTTCAATTCAACATGGAGGATGCTTTGGTTGAAAAACTACCAACCTTTAACAACATGAAACATACATGATATCTTTAGGCCAACTTTGTTACTGAAGGTTTCCCAATAAAGCGATTTTCTTTTAATGTTCACATAATATTTGCAAATCACTGCAATACTGATCCAAATGACTACTAATTGTTACTACTAATTTTTCATCTTCGTTGATCCCATCCCAACATTAACCCATTTATGCAACACTGCCCGAGCAATTTACTTTCACTTTTTATCAAAACTCTCAATCAGTAAACACTTGGGCAGGCACCATTGAAATACAAACCTATATAATTTTAAATTTCAAATCATAGCCAACAGATAGCTGGAAAAGAGACAATGAGCTCAAGCAAACAGGAAAAAAAATACTGAAAAAACTGACTCATTTTTGAAAAAACTTCAACTTGTAGAAAAAAGATAGCCAACTGGCAGTTGGAAAAGAGTAATGAACCGACTTTTTTTTCTTCAAAATCTTCAAGTTTTGAATAAAAATTAGATGGCCTTAAAGTAAAGCTCTTTGAATTTGTAGAACATTTATGATGGACACTTCTTTGTTAACATTAACATAACCCAATTTTAGAATTAAATTCCAATTTCAAAATTAGAAGTCAATCACGTTTTTTGTGACCTTTATTGACCTTATTTTGCTGTTCGATAGTGGAGTTTGACTTCCTTTTAACAAAAGATAAGTACTGAACTTGAAAAAATCACAAGTCAAACCGCGGAAAATCAAAATTGAGCGTGAACAAATTTTAAGTCTTTTCCCTGAAAAAAAAAACAAATCTATATGAGAGTCTTCCCTACGTTCATCACTCTTAAGAAATATGAAAGCAAAACTCTGTGAAACACAAGAAAAATTCATGATTGCAATTTTTTGATAAAGATTAACCCAAATAGGAGAAAACTAATTTTTGACCTACCTGTTTTTTTTCTAACCCTAAGTGCGTCTGTAAGTGCTTTAGATCTCAGAAAATCAATTTGGTCAACTTAAAAAAACATGGTCGCCAAAATTTTTGAAAATGCGCAACCCCCCCCCCCCCCCCCTCGATAAACTCCTAGATCCGCCCCTATTGACAGATAATAAAAGCAGATTTACTCAAGGATTAATTTAGCCAAAGAACGATGCAAAAATAAGGTATCCAGTATGAGTATATTTATAGTTTTTTCTCTTCAGATAAGTTTGCTTGTAAGATGTCTTTTCAGATAAATCCTCTTTATAAGTTGCAACTGTGTCATTCATTATTGCAAATGGCCGCAGCACCTACTCTTTCATTAGCGAGTTAGGTTGAAAAAAGCGAGTCATCTCAATATACTGCGCATGCTAGCTTGCAACTGTGAAAGTGAAATGCAAATCTATAAAACAAACAAGCCAGACTTCTCAATACCGCGTAAATTTTCAAAAGTTTTCTATTCACAATGAAATCACAACCGAAAAGGCTCCAACAACATATTGCTGCACACCCATCTTTTTGACGATTTTTTTGCGATACTTGGTTTTTAGAAGCAGAAAAAGACTGAAAGGCCCAATACAAAGATCAAAACCCGTTTTCACTTCATCATGTGTAGTTTGTCTTAACATTCAGTTATATCAAATATTGTTGCTATAATTCGTTTTTATGTCAAAAACCTAACTTATGTTCAGGAAACCTAACGACTGAATGTATGAATTCCAATTTATAAAAACTTATGAAAATCGCGTAGGTTAGCTTTGCTGGTGTTTGATATTCATCCAAATCTAGCAGACTTTTAATAAATGCGTGTTTCGTCAAGTTTCACCCCGATGCAAAAAATTATGTTTTACTGTAAAGAAAATTCCCGTCGCTGAACAAAAAACACGTCGCTGAACAAAAGAAAACCACCAAAAACAGTTTGGACGTTCTTGCTGCATAGAATACCACCAATTGATACTTCCATAAGGGAGGAAAACTGAGTACAATGAGGTTGAGAAAAATATTTATGGCACAGTCTCCTCACTACACCATATTTATCGTATATATCGTATCTCACTCTGGAATTTCTCGTCGAAAACCTGAGCACAGTTCTACGATCTAAATTCCCAAAGCAAATCGTACACATCTTGCTCTAATCACTCTCTCTGGCCTAGTAAAACATTTCCCCCCAAGCGACTTTTGCCCAAAAACCCGAGGAAAAAAGCAAAAATATATGGATGCAACATACAATCGGATCCCGATTGATCATGAATCAAAGACAAAACCACATTCGAGGTTTTTTTTCTGAAAACAGGTTTTTCTATAGTTATTGCTTCACGATCTCTATATCTTAATCTAAATATTTCACCAGTAATGTTTAGGATCTATTTATAAGACCATGTTAGACTAAGAAGTTGCACGACCTATCGCGCTAAAAATAGGTAGTTGGATAAACAGACGGTGTACCCTTATCTACAATTATTATATATTTAACCACCACCCGGTTATCACTGAAGAGCAACCTGTTACGTACGCTTATTGTATTCTGCATTTAGTTAGGACGTTTATTCTTCAATCGGAAACCACTGCTTTGCATCAATTTTAAATCATAAGCAACATTTGAAAATTTCATGTCTTCCTGTTTCAATGGTTGGACGAAAAAAAATCCGGCGAATTGAATAAAAAATTTGAATCTCGTTGGTTTTCGGATTAAGTAAAACACTTAAAAACTATTGGCAACTCAGGAAAGCCAACGACCTACACTTATTAACAATTCGTTCACCACAGTATTTTTGAGCCATAGAAATCAAAACTATTGTTTTGAGGAATATAAATCAAAACAATGAAAGCAATTCAGATGCGTTTTGATTCAATCGGTTATAGTTCTTGATAAATTATGCTGAGATCGAATTTGAGAAAGTTTTTTTTCTTCGCATTTTTATTTTTATGATTACAACAATAGCACACGTAACTCATTATGACACTGTCAAAAATAGAGTTAACAAGAGATTTTTCCTGGAAGAAAAAATGTACACCTTCAGGAATGAAACAGAAAATACGTGTGATCTGACCTCGAAACAATCTGATTTAAGTCATATTTGCGACAACTTTGCGAATGAGAGCGCTTCGAAACTTCTTGTTAATTGGCGCACTCTAGAGCGTCATCGATTCAACGCGAAAACTCTCGACTACATTTCATCAGCAACTTGTGAAAAATATTTCGCCGAGCATTTATATTTCAATAAGAGAGAATCAGTGAATGACTTAGAGAGAGTTTCCAATCGCCTTCGGAATTTTGGTTTACCATAACTTCGATCAAGTGGAGCAGTTGCTGAGGTTGATCTACACGAAGAACAACTTCTACTGTTTCCACGTCGATGAAGGGGCGGATAAAGAGTTCAAATACATGGCATGATTTTTACCTTGTCACTAAAATTTTTTTTACAAAGTAACAGCAAAATTTTGGTTTCAATTTTGTTCTCTTATGAAAACAGATCAATACTTAGCTATATATATAGATGAAAAAAGGAAATATTTTTCAGTCACAGTCAAAATTAATTTTACGGTTCCCGAGACTTTCCAAAATTTCAGACATATCAAAAAATCATCAATTGAGCAAGAAGAGCTTTCTTCACCTTAAATCTATACTAAAAAGTATGAGTAATAGTTCGATATATCAGATATCTTCGAATGGTTTTTCAAAAAGTTTAATTGCAAGTACTTTTAGATGCAGTGACTTGTAGATTGCTTCCCGGAAAACGTCTTCGTGGCCTCAAATCCTGTCGACATCACTTGGGGAGACGTGTCTATTCTGAAAGCGGTTCTTCAGTGTATGGAAAATCTTATGGCCCGATCTGACAAGAGGAAATACTACGTGCACTTGACGGGGGAAGAGTTTCTTCTGGTCACAAATAGCCTTAAAAACTTGAAGGGTGCAAACTTAGTTGAAGGTTGGTGTATGCTGAAATTATTTTATGCTCATTAAAGTCTCGAAATACAGTAAATTGAAATGATGTCCCAGACAAAGTTTAAATTATGAAGAGGTAAATTTTGTCTGGATATTTCAATGAAACAAAGTTGAAAAATAGCAGTTTCCGACTTTTTACGCAATCGGTTCTTAATTCTGGGCATTTGTGGAGATTTTTTTTCTTATCAGTTTTTTTCTAATTCTTAGTTGACTTTGAGCACTATGCTTTTTTTTCTTTTTCTTTATTTTGACATTCTTTTTTTAACAGCTGAAGATTGAGGAGAAAGGATCAACCTTTAACAACAAGAAACATACATGATATCTTTAGGCCAATTATTTTACTGAAGGTTTCCCAATTAAGCGATTTTCTTTTAATGTTCATATTATATTTGCAAATCACTGCAATACTGCTCCAAATGACTACTAATTGTTACTACTAATTTTTAATCTTCGTTGATCCCATCCGAACATTAACCCATTTATGCAACACTGCCCGAGCAATTTACTTTCACTTTTTATCAAAACCCTCAATCAGTAAACACTTTGAAATTGAAAGGCACCATTGAAATACAAACCTATTTTTATTTTATATTTCAAATCATAGCCAACAGATAGCTGGAGAAGAGACAATGAGCTCAAGCAAACAGGAAAAAAAATACTGAAATCTTTGAATTTTTCAAGTGGGCAAAAATTCAAATTTGAATTCACCTGTTTTTAAGGTCCTTCTTTGAAGCCAAACATGGACAGATATCCGGAGCAACTTCCTTACAATTTGAAGAAATATAAAAGCTCATCCCACATTGTTCTAAGTCACGAAGCGGTCGAATTTGTGTTAAAAAGCCCAATTTCCAAGACGATTTTTGATGCTTTGCACGATTACAACTCACCTGAAGAGTCTTTTTTTGCAGTGTTGCAGTTCAATCAAAAAAAGTAATTTACCCGGAAGTTTGCCAGTTGAAAATGCTGCTAGAAGCAAAAACTTACCAAGAACCAGATTTGTAGAATGGATCGATAAAAAAATTCTTCATGTGTCAGTGGTAAAGTTCAAAGAAGAATTTGTATTCTAAGAGTGAAACATTTGTCTCTTTTGACCCGAAAAGCGTATCCAAACTACTTAGCTGCCAATAAATTTGTCTAGGGATTTCAAGCCCTAGCTTGGGACTGTATGTATCTAGGGCAGCTGAAAAAAGTCGAGCAGGAATATCAAACGCAACGAGTATCAAGGCTTCAATATAATTAACTCGTCCCATTCCGATGATTATTTGTGGTACCTGCGTGAAAAACAAAACTAAAACTTACCCGAATACAACGGTTCATCCGCATATTTCAAACGTCGGAGCAATTAATTGCAAAGAACTTCCGTCACCGATGTTTGTGCTGGGTCGAAAAGAAATTGTATCATTATATAAATTATAGTAATCATCGACTCTTTTCCGATCCACCGTCCTACATCATCAACTTTCTATTTTGAAAAAACTAAATATCGATATGTTTTTCCGCTGCTCAATCTTGCATTTTCATGTTTCTATTTTGAAGAAAATTAAATGGGTATTCAATAGACTAAATATTCGAATATTGTTTCTGTCCTTCCTTATTTCAAAAATTTAGATACATTTCTGATGGGTCGAAAAACGATGATACAAAATGTTCCTTGAAATAATCATTAAATTTGTCCGCTTTTCCATCCTATATATTCAAACCTCCAAGTTGATTATTTATCAATACGCATATAAAAAACGACCTATTGAAAATTTGTGCATTCCACTTCTTTTAATAAAGATCATGACACATTTGGTGGAACAAACAAGATGGTCAAAATAAAAATAGAGTATCTATCGGCTGTTTTATGCTCCCACGTCCAAGATATAAAAGTTTCAGTTTTGATGAAATTCGAAATACACAAGAAAAGATATAAAAGTTTCAATTTTGAAGAAACTCGAAATACTCAAATTTGGTTTCTGTCACTCCTCATTTCAATAATCTTCTGACATACAAAAGTGTCCGTTTTTAAAATTTCTGAAATGTTCAGGAGACTACATACTCAAAACTGGTTTCTGTCTACCTCATTTCGAAGATTATAATACAATTGTGATGGGTGCAGTAAGGATGGGAAAATTTTTTCTTCAAGAGAATCAATTATGTTTTCCGCTCCTCAATTCAACATGTTCAACTTTCAATTTTGAAGAAACTCAAATGGGTATTCAATAGAATGAATATTCGTATTTTTTTTCTGCACTCTTTATTTCGAAACCAATGTGCATTTCTGATGGGTCGACAAATTTTTCTTTGAGAAAACCATTTCCTTTTTCCGCTCCTACATCCAACACAGAAATTTCTTATTTGAAAAAAAAAATCAGAAATATTCAAGAGACTACATATTCGAAATTGGTTAGTGTCTTTGTTATTTCAAAGATCAACAAACGATTATGATGAGTGTAAAAAAGAAGGGACAAAATGTTTCTTGAAAGCATCAATAATGTTTTCCGCTCCTCAATCCTACATTCCTACAAAAACTCAAATTTTGTTTCTGTCATTCTTTATTTCAAAAATCATGCTGCAGTTCTGATGGGTCAAAAACTATTGAGACAACATGTTACTTGAAATAATCATTAACTTTTTCCGCTTCTCCATCCAATCTCATCAAAATCTCATTTTGAAAATAATTCAAATGGGTATTTAATAGACTACATATTGAAAATTTGCTTTTTTCACTGTATCTCAAAGATCATGAAAATTAGAGGTTAAATAATTAAGATGGTCAAAATATTTTTTAAAGATTTAATCGGCTGTTTTACGCTCTCCCATCCAACATCTAAGTTTCTATTTTGAAAACAAAATGAAATACTCAAATAACTTTTTCAGCTTCTCCATCTATCATATTCTAGTTTCCTTATTTACAAATATTAGAATGGGTATTCACAGGAATAAATTTTCAAATTTTTTTCCTGTCACTCCTCATTTCATAAATCGCATCGAATCGGTTCACTAACAATTATTCTTGTCACTCCTCATTTCATAAATCGTATCGAATCGGTTCACTAATAATTAGTTTTTATAAGCAAGGAGAATGCTGGTTTTGTTGATTCGTTTCAGACTGGAATGAATTTGTAACGAAAATTTTGAACAAAAAATGATAAGGTAGTCTAGCTTTGAAGTTTAATCGAGTTTTTTTTGTTAAATGCGTTTTGGACCTTTTCCAAAAATAATTCTTGAATACTCGAGACTTAAGAAGAATTCAAAGTTCCACAAACTCTTGCCTTAACGCCTCTTAAACATTGAGCTTGATGGTTATTCTTGAGTGCTTCTTAAGCATTGCGATCTAAGATTTCTTAAACATTGTAAACGATAGAAAATTTTAAATGTTGCATCCATAGCGCATGAAGGTTTCAATTTAACATGGAGGATGCTTTGGTTGAAAAACTACCAACCTTTAACAACATGAAACATACATGATATCTTTAGGCCAACTTTGTTACTGAAGGTTTCCCAATTGAGCGATTTTTTTTAATGTTCATATTATATTTGCAAATCACTGCAATACTGCTCCAAATGACTACTAATTGTTACTACTAATTTTTCATTTTCGTTGATCCCATCCGAACATTAACCCATTTATGCAACACTGCCCGAGCAATTTACTTTCACTTTTTATCAAAACCCTCAATCAGTAAACACTTGGGCAGGCACCATTGAAATACAAACCTATTTTTATTTTAAATTTCAAGTCATAGCCAACAGATAGCTGGAGAAGAGACAATGAGCTCAAGCAAACAGGAAAAAAAAATACTGAAATCTTTGAATTTTTCAAGTGGGCAAAAATTCAAAATTGAATTCACCTGTTTTTAAGGTCCTTCTTTGAAGCCAAACATGGACAGATATCCGGAGCAACTTCCTTACAATTCGAAGAAATATAAAAGCTCATCCCACATTGTTCTAAGTCACGAAGCGGTCGAATTTGTGTTAAATAGCCCAATTTCCAAGACAATTTTTGATGCTTTGCACGATTACAACTCACCTGAAGAGTCTTTTTTGCAGTGTTGCACTTCAAACAAAAAAGTAATTTTCCCGGAAGTTTGCCAGTTGAAAATGCTACTAGGAGCAAAAACTTACCAAGAACCAGATTTGTAGAATGGATCGATAAAAAAATTCTTCATGTGTCAGTGGTAAAGTTCAAAGAAGAATTTGTATTTGTCTCTTTTGACCCGAAAAGCGTATCCAAACTACTTAGCTGCCAATAAATTTGTCTAGGGATTTCAAGCCCTAGCTTGGGACTGTATGTATCTATGGCAGCTGAAAAAAGTCGAGCAGGAATATCAAACGCAACGAATATCAAGGCTTCAATATAACTAACTCGTCCCATTCCGATGATTATTTGTGGTACCTGCGTGAAAAACAAAACTAAAACTTAACCGAATACAACGGTTCATTCGCATATTTCAAACGTCGGAGCAATTAATTGCATAGAACTTCCGCCACCGATGTTTGTGCTCGGTCGAAAAAAAATTGTATCAAAATATAAAATATAGTAATCATCGACTCTTTTCCGCTCCACCGTCCTACATCATCAACTTTCTATTTTGAAAAAACTAAATATGGATATTCAATAGATCATATATTCAATTTCATTTCTTCTTGTCTTTATTTCGAAGATCAAGATAGATTTGTGATGGTAGAAAATTGATGGGACAATACTATCCTTGCAAAAATCATAAGCCTTTTCCGCTCCTCCATCCTACATATCCAAATTTTCTTTTTAAAAGAAAATCAAATGTGTAATCATTAGATAAAATTTCCCGATTTTGTTTCTGTCATTCCTTATTTCAAAAATGAAGATATATTTCTAATCGGTCGAAAAGTGATAAGACAATCATCGCAAATTTTTAAACAATCAGAAAAAATCAAGAGACTACCTTTTCAAAACTGATTTCTGCCTATCTTATTTCAAAGATCAAGAAACAATTATGATGGATGCTAGAAAAATTTAACAAAAAGTTCTTTGAGAAAATCAATAATTTTTTTTTCCGATCCTCCCTCCTAAATACTCAGTATTCAAGGGACTATATATTCAACTTTTGTTTATGTTACTCTATATGTCAAAAATCTAGACATATTTGTGATGGGTCGAAAAGTGGTGATGGAACAGCATGCTCCTTGAAAGAGTCACTAGCTTTTTTCGCTCCTCCAAAAACAATTCAATTAAGCATTCAATAGACTTAATATTCAAACTTTGATTATGTCATTCCTTTTTTTCAAAAACAAAGATACATTTTGATGGGTCAGCAAGTGATGAGACAACACGTTCATTGAAAGAATCACGTGTTTTTTCGCTCCTAAATCTGGCATATTAACGTTTTTATCACTAAAAAATTTAAAATTTTCAAGATATTACATATTCAAAACTGGTTTCTGTCTATCTTATTTCAAAGATCAACATAAAATTGTGATAGGTGCAAAAAAGATGGGACAAAACGTTATGTGAAAGAAAGAATCGATATGTTTTTCCGCTGCTCAATCTTACATTTTCATGTTTCTATTTTGAAGAAAATTAAATGGGTATTCAATAGACTAAATAATCGAATATTGTTTCTGTCCTTCCTTATTTCAAAAATTTAGATTCATTTCTGATGGGTCGAAAAACGATGATACAAAATGTTCCTTGAAATAATCATTAAATTTGTCCGCTTTTCCATCCTATATATTCAAACCTCCAAGTTGATTATATTTCAATACGCATATAAAAAACTACCTATTGAAAATTTGTGTATTCCACTTCTTTTAATAAAGATCATGACACATTTGAGGTGGAACAAACAAGATGGTCAAAATAAAAATAAAGTATCTATCGGCTGTTTTATGCTCCCACGTCCAAGATATAAAAGTTTCAGTTTTGATGAAATTCGAAATACACAAGAAAAGATATAAAAGTTTCAATTTTGAAGAAATTCGAAATACTCAAATTTGGTTTCTGTCACTCCTCATTTCAAAAATCTTCTGACATACAAAAGTGTCCGTTTTTAAAATTTCTGAAATATTCAGGAGACTACATACTCAAAACTGGTTTCTGTCTACCTTATTTCAAAGATTATAATACAATTGTGATGGGTGCAGTAAGGACGGGAAAATTTTTTCTTCAAGAGAATCAATAATGTTTTCCGCTCCTCAATCCTACATGTTCGACTTTCCATTTTGAAGAAACTCAAATGGGTATTCAATAGAATGAATATTCCTATTTTTTTCTGCACTCTTTATTTCAAAACCAATGTGCATTTCTGATGGGTCGACAAATTTTTCTTTGAGAAAATCATTTCCTTTTTCCGCTCCTACATCCAACACAGAAATTTCTTATTTGAAAAAAAAATCAGAAATATTCAAGAGACTACATATTCAAAATTGGTTAGTGTCTTTGTTATTTCAAAGATCAACAAACGATTATGATGAGTGTAAAAAAGAAGGGACAAAATGTTTCTTGAAAGCATCAATAATGTTTTCCGCTCCTCAATCCTACATTCCTACAAAAACTCAAATTTTGTTTCTGTCATTCTTTATTTCAAAAATCATGCTGCAGTTCTGATGGGTCAAAAACTATTGAGACAACATGTTACTTGAAATAATCATTAACTTTTTCCGCTTCTCCATCCAATCTCATCAAAATCTTATTTCGAAAATAATTCAAATGGGTATTTAATAGACTACATATTGAAAATTTGCTTTTTTCACTATCTCAAAGATCATGAAAATTAGAGGTTAAATAATTAAGATGGTCAATTTTTTTTTAAAGATTTCATCGATTGTTTTACGCTCTCCCATCCAACATCTAAGTTTCTATTTTGAAAACAAAATGAAAAACTCAAATAACTTTTTCAGCTTCTCCATCCATCATATTCTAGTTTCCTTATTAACAAATATTAAAATGGGTATTCAAAGGACTTATTTTTCAAATTTTGTTTTTGTCACTCCTCATTTCATAAATCACATCGAATCGGTTCAGTAACAATTAGTTTTTATAAGCAAGGAGAATGCTGGTTTTGTTGATTCGTTTCAGACTGGAATGAATTCGTAAGCAAAAATTTTGAACAAAAAATGATAAGGTAGTCTAGCTTTGAAGTTGAATCGAGTTTCTTTTGTTAAATGCGTTTTGGACCTTTTCCAAAAATAATTCTTGAATACTCGAGACCACAAAATTCGAAGTTCCACAAAGTTCTTGCCTTAACGCCTCTTAAGCATTGAGCTTGATGGTTATTCTTGAGTGCTTCTTAAGCATTGCGATCTAAGATTTCTTAAACATTGTAAACGATAGAAAAGTTTAAATGTTGCATCCATAGCGCATGAAGATTTCAATTTAACATGGAGGATGCTTTGGTTGAAAAACTACCAACCTTTAACAACATGAAACATACATGATATCTTTAGGCCAATTTTGTTACTGAAGGTTTCCCAATTAAGCGATTTTCTTTTAATGTTCACATAATATTTGCAAATCACTGCAATACTGCTCCAAATGACTACTAATTGTTACTACTAATTTTTCATCTTCGTTGATCCCATCCGAACATTAACCCATTTATGCAACACTGCCCGAGCAATCTACTTTCACTTTTTATCAAAACCCTGAATCAGTAAACACTTGGGCAGGCACCATTGAAATAGAAACCTATTTTAAATTTCAAATCATAGCCAACAGATAGCTGGAAAAGAGTGAATGAGCTCAAGTAAACAGGAAAAAAAATACTGAAAAAAAACTGACTCGTGTTTTGAAAAACTTCAACTTGAAGAAAAAAGATAGCCAACTGGCAGTCGGAAAAGAGTAATGAACCGACTTGTTTTTTTTTCAAAAATCTTAACTTTTGAATAAAAATTAGATGGCCTTAAAGTAAAGCTCTCTGAAATTGTAGAACATTTATGATGGACACTTTTTTGTTTGTTAACATTAACCCAATTTTAGAATTAAATTCCAATTTCAAAATTAGAAGTCGATCACGTTTTTCGTGACCTTTATAATTTTGCTGTTCGATAGTGGAGTTTGCCTTCCTTTTAACAAAAGATATGTACTGAACTTGATAAAATCACAAGTCAAGCCGCGAAAAATCACAATTGAGCGTGAACAAATTTTAAGTCTTTTTCCTGAAAAAAAAAACAAAACAAATCAGCAAGTTCTATATGAGAGTCTTCACTACGTTCATTACTCTTTATAAAAATGAAAGCAAAACTCTGTGAAACTCAAGAAAAATTCATGATTGCAATTTTTTGATAAAGATTAACCCAATTTGAGAAAACTTAATTTTGACCTGTTTCTTTTAAGTGCGTCTTTTAACTGCTTTATGAGATCTCAGAAAATCAATTTGGTCCACTTAAAAAACATGGTCGCCAAAACTTTCGAAAATGCGCAACCCCCCCCCCCCCCCCCCTCTAGAAACTCCTAGATCCGCCCCCTATTGACAGATAAAAAAAGCAGATTTACTCAAGGATTAATTTAGCCAAAGAACGATGCAAAAATAAGGTACCCAGTATGAGTATATTTATAGTTTTTTCTCTTCAGATAAGTTTGCTTGTAAGATGACTTCTCTGATAAATCCTCTTTATAAGTTGCAACTGTGTCATTCATTATTGCGAATGGCCGCAGCACATACTCTTTCGTTTCTATGTGTTGAAACTTGCAGTTTCTCAGCTCATTGCACGTTCTTTGAACCTGTTCAATACAAGGACAAAAACAAGCTATTCGTCCATGATCAATTTTTAAAACTTCAGCTGCAAACTTGATTGCACTCCAAGGTTCAGGCAAGTCCAAAAACACAGCATCCACTTTTTTGACTTTGCATGAAGGCGCAAAGCCTTCCAACAACACATTTCGCTGAGAACTACACGCGATGATGTCGATTCCATGGCGTTTGAAGTCTTGATTGGCCGCTTCAACTCGTTCGGCGCTGTAGTCGTGAGTAATAAGTAGTCCATTCGGTGCAATTGCTCTCGCAATTGAGTGACTTAAAGACCCACTCCCAGTACCTGTTTCAATCACCCTGCTTCCACTGACAAGATCCAACTCGAAAACAATCATAGAAATGTCCATAGAGTAAAGAATCTGGGTTCTATGGTTCAAATTTGTGGTCCATAGTTCTGGCGTCAAATGTAATAGAAAGAAGTACCCTTTACTGTTGTTCGAAGAAAACGCATGTTTCGAGCCGTACTCTTTTCCAATGAGGTTTTTGAAAACGACCATTCCAAATTTAGTCTGGATTGACTTTTTGGGATCCAAAATGACGTACTTATTTTCCAAAAAGTCACTTGTGAAGTTCAAAATTGCACAATCAAACTCTTGGGCAATTAATTTGGGCTCCAGAATTGAGTAGCTCTCATTTTTCGTGTCTGCCGCAGTAGTGTCCATAGTCTCATATATTTCGTGAGTACTGTCAACCTCCATTTAGCAGATAATGATTACCACAATTAACTTTCAATCAGTACGCAATCTAAAATCTGAAAACTAACAGACGAAATTTAAACAGCATCTGAAATTTACGTAAATTTTTCTTAATTAGATCTGATAGTTCTGAATAAATATGTCAATATTGCCATGAAAATTCAGACTTCGATGCTATTTTGTATATTAATTAGAAAATGAGCTTCAATAACAAATTTGAATTCAATCACTATTTACAATCTGTACAAGCATTGCTCAATGCACAAAAACAAAGAATGGCAAATGAAAACTTTAAAAAAGCATGTGAAACTGTTGATGATAAATCTACGGCACACATTGTGATGAACTTGGACAATATTGCGAACAAAGAGTTGTGTGGCTTTTAGTTGTTTTCAAGCAAAACAATTAGAAATCCGGAATACATATCTTATTCAGTTATAGTCAGGATCATAAAAATCCTCATTTAGCTTTGAATGCGCACATTGTCTCGGCACGGTTGCCAGATATCATTCGTTCATATTCACTCTGTAACTCTTGTTCAAAGCGATCCAGCACTTTTCACGCTTCCAGCACTTTCTGCTGCACCTGTAACGGAGCTCCACTTTCTTTTCCATTTCGAGATTGTAAGTGTTGTTGAGGTTGTTGGATGTAGCACATGAAGAATGCGTGTTTGGCGATGACTGCCAGATGGTGTCCATCCGGATGCCAGCGGATGTCCACTCCATTTGGCACACTCCTACCTGTCTCCACTATTCGCACTGCCATACAGCCCTCCGGACTCCACATAAACACCTATAGCGACAATTGCGCATTACAGAAGAAATGCGCAGTTGAGGGTTGAAGTAACACTTCCAATTCACTGCAGACAAACGAAGCGGTGCAAATAAGACAATAATAACCATAGCGTTATCCCGTGTTTGGGCACTTTATTGAAGGGAAAAGTTTTCGGGTCTATCGAAAAACTATCTCTTTTTCAACACTTTTCCTTTTCTAATTGAAAATATTTCTAATAATTATAAATCAGGTATAACATGCACTGTAAAATTCCAGATTAAAGTGGATATACAAAGAAAATCAATTGAATATTTTATACAAAATAATTTCCTTGCGAGAGACACACTGACCTTTGGAGTGCCAGTTAGCATTGCCAGTCTACAATGCACTGGATCCCACTGGGCTGCTGTGATTGGTTCGTTGTGCTGCAGAACACTGTCCAATGAGAGCGTACGGATGTTCCAGATGTAGACTGTGCATGGCTGGTTGTCGTTCCTCGACATTAAATAGAGTCCGTTGCAGCTGAATGAGAGCAGACCCGGACCCAGCTTCGGATTCGGCTTCTCAGGGTCCGGAGTCGTGAAGGGGATGTCAAAAGGTCGCTGTTCCACTAACTCGTATCTCACCTAGAGTCGTATATTTGCACACTTGGATGTAGTTAACTACCCTCGTCCCCATATTGCGGGAAATCGTTAACATTGCCAGCTGACAATTGGAAAAGAGTAATGCATGCAAGGAACTACAAAAAAAAACTTAATTTATGAAAAAATTTCAACTTTCGAATTTATTTCAAAGAAAAAATATATGATCTTACTTCAATTAGATTTACTTATACTATTGTTACAGCAAATTACTCTGCAGCGAATTGTCGCCTCAAGATCTGTGCTCACCTGTTTGACCTTGAGTGGTCCACTGGGCTGCATGTTCACAATAGGAGATGCACTCAACACATCCATCCTGTAGTCTGTCTCTTTGTACACTGTCACAAATTCTTTCTTCCTTCCAGCAGCGGTCTCCCTGAAATCACAACACATGCACTAATTGTTTTTTGGTTCTTTTACCGTCCCAGCTGTATTGGTATGAGCGATGATTTTCCTAATTTAAATCAATGGTTCATGCAACAAACTATTTTCGTCAACGTGTGAGATGGGGGTTGGGGAAGGGGGACTCACAAGAGCTATTTCTGTTCTTGCGGGCGATCTTTCAGTGTTTCAGCAGAATCTACCTTATACTTGTTCCCATAGCGTTAAGTTAAAACCATCGCCGCCAATTTTTTATATCATTCAAATAAATGTGTCGCAAACTACTTGCTTTCAATGCCGTTCAAATATTGACAAGTTTCACTAATTCTTTCTTTTGTTATAACAAAACTCTCAGTTGTCAGATCTTCCTAAGGCTTGAAGCCCCAGCCCACTAACCCGGTACAAGAAACTGCTGTACTGTCAGCGGTCATTGATGAGGCTGTTGTATTTTCTGCACTAGTTGGGGGATTTGGTGGTTTTGGGGTGGGGGCTGTAATGGCAGAGGGGTGCTTTAGTCTCGTGATTGACTTCCAGGTCATGTGAGGGATGATGTGGATTGACTGATTGTAGAAGCCCGCAGCTGCCAGCTGACCAGACGGCGAAAAAGCTGAAAAAAAATATAACGACTCGTTATTTTCATTTTTTTTGAAAAAGTTTTTATTTAGCGCTTTCACAGTGATTTAGATCCATCAGAAATCAATTTAAAGAATTTTCTAATCAGTAAACCTTGAAAGCCTGTTTATAAATTTAGTGCCTCTGCCAGATTATGAGAAACGTCTTAGTAGTGTTATCTAGATTTACTTTTGTAATCAAGGTTTAGTTTTGTTATCGACTTAGCTTCGTTACCCAAACTGGGTAAAATAACTGATTTGTGAAAACAAATGGCTCACCTATTGTTTTAATTCCGAGACCGTTCAGGTATGGCTCCATTTTGGACACTAGATGGCCCAAAACAGAGTAGAAAAGAAGACGTACTTCAGTACACGTCTGCAACAGAAGAAGTTAAATCAGTTATTATACAAATTGTCATTAATTGTATACAACAGTGAAATATACACAGAGGCGAAGCGCAGCTTCGCACCACTTGCGATACAACATAATCATAAAAAAGCATAAGTCAACAAAAAATGTTGAAAAAATTAGGTGCACCAAAATTTTCTTAGGTCTCGATGAACGACACCTAAGGCTCAGAAATCTAGCGGTACGTATTTCTTATACTGATGCGGGACAAAATGCTTAAGCAAAGAAGATTTTCAAAACGGGGTTTTCGATCGAACACTTAACCTGAGAATTGGCACGGAATTTTCGAGTAGAGTAAAAAAAAAACTTTCAAAAATCTGTTGGGTAGATTAAACCTATGATATCAGAAATGGCAGGATAGTTATCGAGAAAAATCCAAAAAACGGTCAACAAATCAGTAAGTTGACATTTCCGATAATCATGGCTTTTTGTTTAAAAGAAAGTTGGTCGTAGCCGCTTAAGAGATTCAACCAATCTTTTATTTCGATTGAAGCCAAAAAATCTAGGTTTGGCAGGGTAGTTCTCGAGAAAAGCCAAAAATTTCAACAGTCAAAACATTTTGACTTTTCCGAACCCATTATTTTTTGTATCATTAAAAAAATTTGGGTGTAGTATTGTATGCAAAGAAGCTTCCCACAACCCGCTCTTTGGATTGAAACCAAGATCTCAGATATGAGAGGGTTTTTTTTGTTAAATTCAAAAAATTTAGAAAAAAAAACGGTCAAAAAATCAAAATTTAACATTTGCGAGGACGATAACTTTTTGTGTAAAAAATTACCGGTGACAACTAATGCAGGAGATCCTCTCACTATCCGTTATCTCCAATGAACCCACAACCTCAGGACTATTCCGAGGGCCATAATTTTACGTGTAGAAAAAAATGGAAATAACGGCTTATTGAGGGGAAAATGAAAAACTTTTACACTTTCATAATACATGTTTTTATCAAATAAGAATTCTAGGCAAACATGCCAAGCAAGATATTTGAAATTCAAATTAGCAACTGAACAAAACTTACGAAGCGAAAACAAGGCCGAAAATCGAAGCGGAAACAAGGCCTTCAAAAGTGTAAAAAATTTCAAAAGTTTCAAGTCCCCCCTGAAACTACCCTGTAGTAAATAGTACCCAGCCATTAGTTAAATTTGAATTTTCAAGAAATTGAGCATGTCAGCTGAAGAGCATGTCAACTGATTTTGTAAGACTAGTTGTTAACCCGAAAAAAAGTCTACATTCCGATTTGATAACGCTTGCTAATCGCAAGCGTAATAACAACTTGGATGCTACACGATCAATACTGCTCTTGTATAAGCACCCATAAAAATCAAATCATTTTTACTTGTAAGTTGAGTACTTCATCGATCATTTTAGGAAACAACAGGCCCATTTTCTAGCTAACGAGAATTTCAAAACATACTCGTTAGCTCAATATTGTCTTTAATGGAAAATCACCGCTCATCTCTTTCAGTACTCTTCGCAAAACTATCATAACCAGAACGAGATGCTAACTTACATCTAGCACAGCAATTGTGACTGAGTCTGGTGTCCACCTGATGGACTGGAGGTCGCTGCTCTCAGTGGCGAAGTGGGAGGCCAGGGTCCAGTTAGACACCAGGAACACAGACACATGGTCCGCACACTCCCTTCTCTCAGCCAGTGCCATGTACTGGCCATCTTCTGTACAGAAAAACGAGTAACAGTTCCTTATAAACTTGGATTTTCTTGAATTCCTCTACTTTTTTAAGACTGGTTAAAAACATTCTGTGCTTTTTAAAGACTATGTTTAAAAACATTCTGTCCTATAGACCTACCTGAAAACTGTATCGGAGCAGGAATCGCTTTCGGGTACTTGATATAGGCCACACTTTTAGTCGTCAGAGACCAAACAGTGATTCTCAAACTAAACTCAGAAGTCGTCAGAACCGAGAGACTGTCCGAACTCCAGACAGCCGAGACCAGACCGTAAGATCCTTCGTCTATCTTACATGTCCAGTCTGTATTTTCAAGAGAGAATATCTGCACCAGAGCTCTTTTGTACATTGCACATAATACCATCGATGAGTCTGGGGACCAACTGATGTGTGAAATTTCGTCCAGACACGTGAACATTTGTTGGACTGTGAGAGTGCGTGCATTTCGGATGAATAACTTGTAGTGTCCGTCTACGTGTGCAAGAGAGGTCCCATCAGGTGAGAAGTGACAGAGTCTATTGTTGCTATTGAAAGAGTCTGAGAAGTTCATGCTTGTGATTAATTAAACATGCTACTTCTGAAACAAATTATTTAAAAATGCATTCATCATTTTGTTTGGTCAAGTGACCATCAAAACTAAGCATTCGACATTTAATGTTACGTAAATAATTCAATTCAATTTATTTTTTAGTTCTCTCAAAGCATCCTAATTTTGGATTTCGAGGTAGATTTGAAATGAGATCACCTGTAAAATTGTTGCTTGAATTCTATCTTTTACGATGAAAACCCGTTTTGTTTCAAAATTGCAATTTTTGTCGAAAATGATTGTCGAAAAACGGCCTTGTAATCATAAATTAATATTCGATTTAAAATAACAAGAACTATGCATGCAGATATTATCCGCTTGAAACCTGCTTTACAACTTCATTTAAATTCACCAGGAACTGTTCGGCTAACAATCTGCATTCGGAGTGCGGGTCATTCTCGCGTACATACGCCGCCGCAATTCTGTACTTCATAAAACCGTCTGTCAAACTTTCATCGGCTAAAATTAGCTCTGCCGAGTTTACCGCAGTCAAAGCTACCAATGCACAAAACCACACTGATTGTCTGACACAAGCGTCGGCGTGGTTCAAATGCTGCTGGCAAAAATCACCAATCAACTCTTTTGCCATTTTCATAGCACAAGGAGTATTCACAGAGTAATGCAATACAATTCCCATTGTATAAAGAAGGTTCGAAAAGACTTGACTGTCTTCATTAAGTAGTCTAAGAGTAGCGATAGGCTGATCGTATTTGGCCAGAAACGGAAAGAAAAAAGAACCACACACTTGTGAAAACTTGTTCTCAGTTATAATTTTCTTCTTCGGTTTGACTTTGTGGAAGAATTTCGTCTTGGCTAACACCTAAAAGGCCACATCATAACACATGTTCTATAAAACTTCTATTATACCCATAGAACTGAATATTTGTCAAAATTTATTTAAGTTTATTTTGCGTAACGAAGAATATTTTGTCATTAACTCGAATATTTGACAGCGTTCCAGGCACTTTTCAGCTACCCATTTAAGTGCGTATTCAGCTGTTATATTATGAGAGTAAATAATAGCATATATCATACCCTCTGATCGACAGTGGCTCTCCAATCCTGTTCCATGTTTCCACCCTTGTCCAGATTGCTTCTAGAATCTTCTGAAGTGTCTACTTTGAGCTCGGACAATTCAGCTGCTGCCATTCTGATGGCCTGCAGAATATCCAGTCTGTGTCTAAAAGTGAGACGATTCATTATTTTCACCAGCTGTTTTATGAGCAAGTTTTACTGACCTCAGATTTTGGAAAACTGTCAATAAAAACAAAAACAATTAATTAATAGCATTGCCAACAGACAGTTGGAAAAGTTCCAATGAACTCAAGGAAACCGACAAAAATTATATACTTGAAATTTTCCAAACTTTGAAATTGATTCAGTTTGATGCTCTTTGAATTTCGAGAATCATGTATGATTGAAAAAAAATTTTCATAAAAAAGAACCTAATTAAAGATATCTGCGTTTATAGAAATTTTCATTCCGCTGTATTTTTTCATTTTTTTTGCCTTTCCAAAAAAAATCAACTTCCGTAAGTTATGCCATTCATATTTTTCCTTCCATTTGCACTTTTGTTATTGGTCAGCAAAATTCCCCATTTAGCAATTGGACTCGAAATGCCTTTCAAAAGAAAACGTAGCCAACACACAGTTGGAAAAACGTCAATGAACTCTAAGAAACCAAATGATATCTAGTAACAGAGTTATTTATAAAAATTTATAAATACGATTCTAATTTGTATTTATAAATCACTCTGTAACTAGATATCGTTTGGAAACAATTTATTATTATGATTATTATAAAAAAAAACTTTCGTTAAAAAATATATGGCCTTAAAGCTCTTTGAATTTCAATTAGATTTTATGATTGACGCAGAGCCAAAGCAAAGTTTCACACCATTCGCGATACAACAAAAATAGAAAGCTATTCAAAAAACTATCGAAGGCGGTTGAATTTGAGTAAAGATACTGAGAAACACAATTGCCCAAGCTGAACAAGTATTGAAAAACACCATTCATCAAGCGGTAATTGAGCAGACAACACTTCAGCAGACAACTTTTAGGCCGAAAATTGCTGTAAGAGCTTTTGAGTTATAAAAAAGGTAAAAAACAAATTAGAGTAGATTGAAAAGCAACAATTAAAATCGAAGAAAACTTCAGCAGTCATGTTCAAAAAATATCAGTTGCGGGTCAATCCATTAAAACAGACATGCCAACTGATTTTGTTAGTCGTTAACCCGAAAATAAGTCTATATTCCGATTTGATAACGCCTACTAATTGCAAGCTTAACAAAATTAACTCAATTTGAGAAAAATGGATCAGTAGATAGTTTTTTTTATTGTTGGGAAATCTGAAAATTAAAACCCGCTTTGGAAGAAAAGAAGCCAATCACAATTCTCGAGAACTTTACATTTTTGCTGCTCGATAGTGGAGTTTGTATTCCTTTTAACAAAGAAAAGAACTAAACTTAGAAAAACAATAATCAGAACAAGGAAAATCAAATTTTAGCGTGAATGAATCACCACTTATCTAAAAGCCTTCACTACGCTCATCTACTTTTCAAAAACATGAAAAAAAAATTAAAACTTGAGCATGAACAACTGTCAAGACTTTTTCTTGAAAACAAAAAACCACACTGCGAAATTAAGCGATGAAAAATTTCGCTCTTTCACACTCAATAAAATCACTACATTTAAAAGAGGTTCAAAAAGAAGATAACAAAAAAAATAAAATTAACTAACCTCTTTAGTAGAGCAAAATTAGGATTGGATACTTTTGCTTACGTGAACAAAAATTTCAAAACATTTCTTATAGATTAGTCATGATAAAATTTTCTCTTTTCAAAGGCTTTCAAAGGGTTTATGATACAGAATTCAACTAGCCGACAGAAATTGAGAAGGAAGCCTCACAGTCCAAAAAAATGGCTTTCAAAATTTCTATGTCATATTTGTCTCTAGTAGAATTAATTTTATGTTAAGTCGAGACAGCCAAATGCAAGTAATAAATTACCACTGAAACAAAGCAATTACTGAGCCAAAAATAATTGAGTAGGCGACTGTCGACACAAAAAAACGGTTGTGCAATTTTTTTGTAACGAAGTCTCCACCCGAGCTCCGAAAATTCGGCTTTTGTATGCAATTCGTAATTGAGATTTCCGATAAATTGATCTTTCGAGCGCACCTCTCATCAGCATCTCGACAGTTGTGCTGGCATACTCAAATTTAGACAAACTTGGTTATCGGAGAAAGGTCTAGTAGCCGATTTTAAAACCCTTGCCATAGCAAGAGTAATTTAAAGCGAGGGAAGAAAAAATACCAGAAATGACTAATTCATTTCACACCTTATTGAGAAGTTAGCTTCGTAGAACATATCAATCAGAAACCCAGACACTTTCTTCGGTTGTCGCTGCAGTATAGAACCCAGTGCATTGACTCTCAGAGTCTCGAATTCAGGAGTTGCATATTTGTCTTCAACGTGCATTAGAACCTTCGCAACGTCCAGGCACATTTCATCAATCGCAACTTGATCTGATCTTAGAATAATATCTTTTGCGTCAATTATAGTTTGTTCGAATAGGTCAGCGGCTGTATGTTTTGCAGCGCTGTCGCTACTGGGACTACTTGAGAGTCCATTGATGATGTCTTGAAGGTAGGCCGACTTCTGGAACTTGATCTGGGGAGTGTCATTTGACATGTCATAAGGTGTAAAATCATCATCATCATCATCATCATCATCGCTGTCCAAATTCTGCTTTGAAGTAACTTTCGTATTTTCATCAATACTGTTCTTCTCATGTGATGTACCTTGTTTGTTATCTTCATTAGTTGAGCTCTTGGAATCCGGAGGAGCAATGGATTCCTGTGTTCTGAAAAAGATATCAATTGAAGCTAAAAGCATCAAAGCATTAACACTTGAAATAATAACCCTCAATGAAATTATAACAGTTAGTTTATACGTTATAACCTACGCGATATCTGATTTTTCGAAATAATATAATAATTAATAATAATAATTGTAGTTCCTGCGAATCGCAGAGGAGCTATCAGTAGGCCTTAACAGTCCTGTCGAGGATAGTCCATTTGTATTATCTCCCCACATTCCAGACAGTGTTATTTTGCTGTGCGAAGCTGTTTTTTTTTTGCGACTCAAGGCCGTTTTTTTGCGTTTAGAACTTTTACGTGGTACCACTATTGCAGCCAAATTTGGTCAGGTTGTGGTAGACCTGAATATATCTAAAGAAACTTCGGATTCTTTTAGGAAAACCACATCAACGAACAAAAGGTGTTTTAAAAACACATTTCTTTTCATCTTCTCTCATTGAAGTGGTACTTAAATTATTGAATCAATTCTTTTTGCAACAGTCGGTAAAATTTATGCCAAAAACTGATGATGCATTTCATTAAGATGGGTTATTTTCTGTCCATGATTTTTTGCAGAGTATCGAACTTTCACTGCAATTTGTATGAATTAAGCTCATACAGTGCTGATTCAATACAACCCGATAAAAGGAGTAAAATTGACATCTTAAAACTCGCTCTCTGAAATTGGGTGAAATTAAATCCAAAAGTAATAAAACAAAAGTTGCTAACAATGTTACTAAAAATTTTATCTTAAGAGGTCCATTCATTTGGCTCAGCGTTAAGCATAAAGTATAGGGCCAATTCATACTATTTTGCACCCGTTGGCACTATTTGTTTGCTTAACATTAAGTCAAACTAATTGACTTACTGTAGGAGATGTGTCTTTACCAAAATGTCGCATTAACAACTGCAACATAAAGTTTCTAGTAACATTTTAAGCAAGTTTTTTTCTGAAAATTTTGTTGTTTTCAGAAAAACGAGTCTGAAAAAGCATCTTTGCACGTTTCATTGGATTATTTGAAATCAGCATTGATTAAAAAAAACAATACAAGGAGCAAAGATGACATTTTGCAAAGTTTTGACAAAGACACATTTTTAATTAAAAAATGATGCCAACTGATGTTAAAAAAATGAACTGGCCCTGTATTATATTGTATATTGAATTAGCTCTATATCAGCTTAATTCATACAAACTGAAAGGAAATTCGGTAACCCGCAAAAAATGCACGAAGACAAAATAACCTAACTTAATGGAATGTATCATCAGAATTCAGTATAATTTTACTGACTATTGCAAACAAATGGCTTCAAAAACTGAAAAACTAGTTCAAAGAAAGCATTTACACAGAGGCTAGGCCGAGCTTTGGCAAGGCAAAAGTTTTGGAGTGCCGAGAAAAGCTAAATCTACCACAACTTTCATAAATTTGTCTTGAATTTTCTTACCTTAGAAAATTGAGTTGGAATTTCATCGAGACAAAGCTTAAACAGCGGTAACAAAACCGATATTTTTTGAGCAGACCACCGTTGAACAAGAAAAATTTAAAAAGAAAAAACGCGAATTAATCCAAATAGAAGTTAGTTAAATTACAACTGACAATTAGAAAATTGAAACAGAGCGATACAACAAACAAAAGTAGCAAAAAATGAAAAATTCGGAAATGTTAAAAAAACTAGGTCTACCAATATTCAAATTTTAGTATGTCTCGATGACAGTTCACTGTAGGTGAGCATGCCAACAATTGAATACTAAATAGGCAACGGAACAAAACTTATGAAGAGGAAACAAAGCCGACATTCTTTGAGCAGAAACAATTTGAGCCGAAAAAAAATTCAAAAAAGAATGTAGGTTTTGAGTCTCAATTGAAACTACAATTGTGCAATAAAAGTTGCTTACAGCACAAGAAAAGTCAGTGATGTGTCCACTAAGTCGACAATCTTTGAGCAGACACCAGTTGAACCGAAAAAAAACTTTTAAAATTTTCGTTTAACCTTTCAAGTCCCTCCCTGAAAAACTACAGTGAAAGTTACAAATAGCACAAGCAAAAATCGTGATGTGTCAACTTAGCCGACAAAATTTGAGCAGAGAAACGAAAGTTTGACAATTCAATTTTTACAAAAAAAAATCAATTGCAAAAAAACAAGGTCCGGTTGAGACGCGACCCCAAACCATAGGGAAGGAAACTGGAAATGGGAAGGAACCTGAAGCCACTGAATAGAAGGCGATGCTTACTGATTAAACTGATTTTGCAGTCAGTTTACTGATTAAACTGATTTTGTAGACTAGTTTTTAACCCGAAAAACAACTTTATATTCCAATTTGATAAGGCTTGCTAATCGCAAGCGTAAACATAACGGGTATCTGATATGCAGGCATCAAATTATGTCTATTGGTTGACGAAAAGCAGATTTGAGAAAAGGATAAAAGAAAAAGGGATGTTCCGAATTGTTTCTGCTTGCTTATCGCGAGCATAGTAATCTCATGTGTGAAAAAAAATTCTGTGCGCATTAATCGATAGAGCATATATAAAAAAAACCTGTGCACATAAAAAATTCATGGGTTTCAAATAACAGATTTTTTTGATTTGATAAATTTTCATCAGAGTTTTCAAAAAATTAAAACTACACGTAACTATAATACTTGTACCAGGGGGCTTTGGAAATGGCATTCAGAAACTTAGAAGATACCTGAACCTTCAAACATAGCCAACAGACAGTTGGAAAAGAGTCAATGAACACAAATAAAAAAAATACTGACTTGTTTTTTTTTGAAAAATCTCGTTTCGAAAATCAAAGAAAAAAATAGATTCCCTTGAGCCTCTTTGAAAAGCTCGAACAACTAATGATTGGCTTTTTTTGAAAAAAAATAACCCTATTTGAGAAAACGGGATCAATAAGTTGAATCTTTATTTCGATGGGAAGTTCGAAAATTAAACTCGACTTTCGAAACTAAAAATCGATCACGTTTGTAGTAACCTTTTACAGTTCTGCTGTTCGATAGTGGAGTTCATCTTCCTTTTAACAACCCGCGAAAGAAAAAATTGAGCCTGAAATTTTAAACGTTTACTGAAAAAAATATCATCGCGCCCTATATTAGAATCTGAACTACGTCCATCGGTTCCTAAAAAAATTCGAGCTACGGGAACGTAACCGACAAAAATGAACAGAAGGACGATAGTCTGAAGAAGCAGAAAACTTCTAGCTACCAAAAAACAGGTACATGCCGATTCCGAACCACAAGCCTTTGTCGTCTTAACCAGGTGTTTTACTTCTACGCCGGATCTGCTGGACGGCTGATTGACTTTGATCTTATTTAAAAGCAAGTTGATCACAGATGCGAAACAAAGCTTCGCGCCACTTGCGATAAAATACAAAAGAAGTCGAAAAAATTGAAGAAAAAAATCGAATGAACCAAAATGTTCGCTTGTCTCGATAAAAAATAACTAGTGGTCCAGATAAGGCAGGAGCTGGCTGTTTGATAATTTTGGAATTTGTTATACTGATGCGGAATAAATGTGCAATTTCAAAAAGCTGCTTCTCTAAGAAAGTAATTGAGAAAAAGGAATCTTCCCAAAGATAACCTTTTTCTTACAAAAAATCTAGGAATCGCTGCTTCTATCCAAGAAAGATTATCGCAACGGGTTCTTTCGAGTGAACGTTTCTTCTCAAATTGGACAGGGTAGTTTCTACGAAGAGTCAAAAAGTTTCTCACAGTTGACAAAGCCGATACAAAATCAGCCGAAACCATTTAATTGGAAAAAAATCTTCAAAAAAATATTCTAAATCAGACTTGCTTCATGACAAATTACAGAACTTTCAATTATACTAATAGTATTTACAGAATCAAAACAAATCCATGCTTCACAAAGCAGGGCGATAAAAACAAGTACTAGATAATATTAACGCCATTTAAAGAAACGGAAAATGAACCGACAGAAGCTAGGCTGAAAAACACGAATCCCAAAAAATTAACATTTTTTCAAGATTATTATTTAAAAAAAAACAATTAGTTCCCGAAACTTATTCCAGCTATTTACTCAGATGAGATAGTTCCATTTGAATTTTCAGAAATTGAGCATATCTTGAAATTTACCATTCCTACAAAATTGACCATTCCGTGAACAAAGTTATTTACGGGCAAAAGTCTTGTACCCGATGGCACTACCCTTGCTCACGTGCGAAATCTTGAGAACAAAGTAGTTTGTCTAGTACCCGGGGAGCAAAGTAGTTTAAGACAAGTACCCTGTTGCAACACCCTTGCTAAACGCAGGGGTAATGAGAAACGTGTTTTTAAACACTCGCTATATCAAAAAATAATTACACCTTAGTAGCACAGTATAACTTACTCGTATAGCTTGACCAATTGATCAATCTGTTTAATGAAATGGTCAGTAGTTGATGTTTTCGGGAGGTCCAACTTCGATTTAGCGCCTTTATTGATCGCATTGCAGAGAAGCTGTCCTACGTATGAGCCCATTACACGTACTCTTTCCACTGAACTCTTGAGGTAAATGGTGATTCCCTCCATTATTCGGTGGCTACATCTCTTCCCCCATTCAGCTTAACAAAACAATCGCTGTCAAAATAATAAAATAAATTACTGAGAAAGCCGAAACATCACGGTTCAATTTACACTAAATTGGATGTTCCACCTTTCCTTGAAGCTTTAGGTTTCAACAGAATTAGTTCGAGCCACCATCTTTTCAGGTTCAAATATTGGCACGAAGCAAAAACCATACGACCTGTGTCAATTCATTAGTACTTGATGGCTCTTTCAATAATAAATTACTGTTCCGACCATCAGGGTTGCATAAAAATCTGATGTATATTCTCGATTGATTTAAATCCGATTTGATTTTTTCGATTTTTATTGGAAACGTTTTTGTTTCAAGAATCAATTAATTTACGCAAAATTACTGATTCAGCATCCGAAAGAAGAACACAAGTTACCCATAATTGTCTATTCCCAGTCAATTTCTGAGACTGGAATGGATAAATCCGAAAGTGCTGAAAAACTTTTCCAGTTAAAAGAATGCTATGAAGAGCGAATTACGTAACCAATGTAAATACTGCAAGCTGGGTTGTATGTTTACCGCGGCACTCGGTAGGATAACACAAGGGTTGATTTTTATTCTACGATTAAAATCCGATTTAAATCATTGATTTAAATCAAGTTGATTTTAATCATGCAACCCTGCCGACCATTCTCCAAAAGGGAAGGAACTACTGCATAAGATGAGATTTTTTCCGCATGATTGTAAGTTCTTCAAAGAAAGCTTACACGGAAGTTAAATTCAGGGGGTCAACTAGCCTTTCCAGTCGTGCTTATGATTCCAGCAAACTTTCTTTAGAGAAAGCTTTCTCAGTGTCGAGAAAAACTGGTTTTTGCCTTTCGGTTTTTCAGTGAAATTTTAACGTAGAATTGATAGTGTGAAATTGAGTAACATCATATATTTCAGCGAAGAACTCAAAATTTCACAGAGGCGAAGCTTTGTTTCGAAAACACTTGCGAGAACACAAAAAGCAGCTCTATAAAGAGCAATAAGAAAAATTAGAAATAAGCCTCTAAATAGTACAAATTCGGATTCCGGCTACGTCTGAGATTCGAACTTGCGACCTAGGAATTAACAGTCTCACACACTAAACTACACAGCCACGGACGCTTAATAATCACCAAACACTAGCCACAAATGAAGCAGAGAACCGATGCTATGCAATTTCCAATGAAATTTCCAAATAAGTGAACACTTCTAATGAAAATTTAGTTTGCGAGGTAGATTAGAAAACAAGAAGGTTCGTACTAATACAATCCGTTGAGCGCTAGTGTAAGCAAACCTGGACTGGGGTGTTTCTGGATTCCTAGAGCTGCAATTTTGTTTATGTACAGCAATTGCTCGTATGGTACATACAGCACCACAAAGGGATCGGCCCAGACCTTGCATACTTCAGTAAGAAACAGGTCGAAAATCTCCAATCTGCTGGTTTCTGGACCCAAAAAGTACCCCAACAAGTTGCATATGAGCTGGTCATCTTCAAAATAGCGGTCAGAAACTAGCTTTGTGAATAAAATATGACGACAGATTTCGCATTGAATCACAAGATCTCCGAGTATTGAGCTAAAAAAAATAAATCTTATGGCGTGTCAACTTTGCTTTAAAGCTATTCTAGACTTTAATCATATCATTTTTATCTAGGTTACCAATATTGAGAAAAACTAATTGTGTAATTTTTAACTGACCTAACATTTTTCCACGAAGAGCAAACTTTCAGAATAGAAGTAACAAATGTATCCAGGTACTCTTTGGGGCAATTAGCCGAAAGCTGCCAAAGAGAGCGTCTAGCCACATAGTCGTCAGGATCCAAATTCGTCACGTAATGAACCAGCGGTGAAAGAACAAACTTGACACATTTTGCTCTTTTGCAACTCTTCGAAATGAAATACGATAGAACTGAGAAATCTACTTTTTTAATTCCAAAAAGCGGGTTTGTTTTGATGAGCACAACTACAGCTTCGAATAACCTTAAACAACCAAAACTTCAAACAACAAATCATGGAGCATTATTTTTTTTTACATTTGAGTACAGAAACCTTTTGAAATATTTGTCACCTTGCAAATTGTCCCACTTTTCATTCGAAGTTTTCTCCAAAACGTTCGAAACAATATCGGGTATATTAATAAGTTGATCCGAACACATAGAAGCGTTCATCTTTTCGACATCAGTTTGGATGAAACTCATTTCTGCAAAAAGTTCGGTTATTTTCTGGTCATTCTTAAAGAATGTATAAAACTCCTTCAGCACAATTTCAGCTCTAGAAAGCTGCAATGGCTTAGGCTTCAGCTCTGAACAAAGGATGAAAATTGATTCACATATGGGACTTAGCCAAAATGCTTCATGAAGCATAGCAGAAGTGACTCCGTTTAGCTCCTCGTTTTCTTGACAACCCACTGAGCTTTCCACCAAACATGGAATTATTTCCCGTTTGACATTCAACGGTAATCGACCTTCGTCCGTATACTTTTTCAGGTTTGCGGGACTCAAACTCTTTTCTGTTTCTACCATCTTTCAAACATCGGCAAAATCTGAAACAAATACCATATTTATTAATTGGACAAATATTACCAAAATTAAAATGGCATTTTGATTGAAACAAATGAGTAGAAAAGTTTCAGAATTGGAAGCTGTGCGATGACATGTAAAGAGAGTGAATTTGAGAACAGGATGCGTGTGTTTGATTAAAATCGACACCAAAACTTTGTTGACTAATTTCACAAACCCAGTTCTAACTCGAGCCACTTTTTCACCCTTTCTTCTAACAATCAGATCGACAGCTGATCTCGAACAGAGAAACTAAACTATTTCTATTCAAACATGGTGGTACGTATTATAGATTCTTGTGTTTTAAAAAGAACATCTTTTTAAGAGTTTCGAAAATTCATAAATTTTGCTTTGTTTTCATGCATAGCTTTGGGCTGAGGGAGGAGCTGCGTGCGCTCGCTAAACGAAAAACAAACTTTTAATGAAGACAAAACATCAGATGTCCAAAACTTTTGGCACGTTTTTTTATTATCTAGATTTACTCCTGAAAAGTCAAATTTTTTGAACGATATTAAAGGATAACTAAAGTAATAGGATTAAAAACCACTCAAAATTAGCTGTCATAGTGAACTTATAGATAAGCTCTTGAGTACCAACATCGCACCAACTGTCCGATAGTGGAATTTGCATTCCTTTTAACCAAGGAAATGAATTGAACTTAAAAAGATATCAAAAGACAAATCGCAATAACAGTAAATTTGAGCTTGAAGCTCCGGAAAAGAAAAAAAAATTATCACGACCTACATAAGAGTCTGAACTACGTTCACCGAATCTTAAACATTATTTACCAAAAATCAATTTTACATTTAAACGAAATTTAAAATATTTCTCTTTCTAGAGCAACTAAATAAACGGAATAACGCATGTGAAATGTGAAAAATGAACTTTTGAACATTTGTTCCCAGAACAACTAAGGAACGGAGTAATGTATGTGAAATTAATTTTAGCGAGAAGTAATCAACATCCACGTAGGACAGGCGGGAGTGCAAATGGGCAATGCAGTTTGGGAACTGTACTGTCTTGAGCACGGAATCGACCCCGAGGGAAGGATGCCATCGGACACCTCTGTCGGCAAAGAGGACGACTCCTTCAACACCCACTTCTCCGAAACGGGCACTGGACAACACGTCCCTCGGGTTCTATTCGTGGACTTGGAACCAGGAGTGATAGGTGAAATCAAGAGTGGACCCTACAAGAAGCTGTACAACCCGGACTGTTTGATTGACAGCAAAGAGGATGCGGCCAATAATTAGGCTAGAGGACACTACACGATTGGCAGGGAGAAAATAGAGGAAGTAATTGAGAGGATGAATAGAGTGGTACGTACTCAAGTTAATTAAAGTTTAATCCGAAGAAAGGAAAACAGCCAGTTTAGAATAAAAAGCAATACTTTGAGAGCTCGATTTCATTATTGACATTCGGACTATCTATGATTGGAAGAGATCTGCAAGCTCAAGAGGCACCAACATTAAGTTTTTGTTTCAGATTTGATTGATAATTCTATGAGGAGACAATGTTTCTTTCTTAGGCAGAGGAGTGCAGTGGTCTACAGGGCTTCACGGTGTTCCATAGCTTTGTAGGAGGCACTGGGTCTGGGTTCGCGGCTCTACTCATGGAGAGACTGTCCATGGAGTACCAGAAGAAGTGCAAACTAGATTTCTGCGTCTATCCAGCTCCCAACTTGGCCACTTCCGTTGTGGGTCAGTAATCAACTTATGACACGCTACAATTATCTGAACACAATACTTGACTCAACACCAAAATACCAAGGCATGCTAGCCGACCAAAAAGTGCCATTCTTTATAACCTCCTGGAACTTTGCTGGGCTATATAGGAGGCTCACTTTGATATACTTTTCACAGCAATTGCTCTGATAGTTCTGGCGCAATTTTTTGTTGAATAAAAATACCAAATTGATCTATGTGTTCTAAGAGAAAAACGTGTTCTAAGTTTCAAATTGAGAAAAACGTGTTCTAAGTTTCAAGTTTTAATCGTTTTGCCGACTAATTCAAATCATCCTTGTAACTCCTCTGAAACGACTGGATTTAGAGCCCTACAATGCGATCCTGTCGACACACACGACTATGGAACATACAGATCTGACATTCATGGTGGACAATGAGGCCATTTTCGACATCTGCAAACTGCACCTCAAGATCAACAACGTCACCTACACCAATCTGAACAGACTCATATCCCAGGTCGTCTCATCCATCACTGCTTCACTACGATTCCCAGGTACAATTTTTTTTTACTGAGTGGTGATTCCAATTTATCGACCATCAATTTGAGACAAATCAATATGTGAACCCCTATTATTTGCATTATAATCTAAAATAAGGTTCTAGTATTCCAAAAAGAGTTCTTTCGTCCATTTTTTTATTCAGGTGCACTTATTAGTCTTACCAGGACCTCAGCATCTGAAAATTATTTGCTTCAAAATTTCATGTTTTGGTCTAAGTTTTATTTGAATTTCTAGAATTCGAGCATGTCAGAAGTGATATTGACCATTCCTACTAAAATGGCCATTCTGTCAACAAAGTTGTTTACGTGAAAAAAATTCTAGTACCCGATTGCAATACCCTTACCTATCGCAAGGGTAATGAACAAGGACAGCGGTTACTTTACAAGTATCAGCGAAAGTTCCAACCTCAATCGTAAGACAAAACAAAACATCTCTGCCGTTTTTAAGCGCGATGTGATGAGAGGAAAGACGAAAGCTTAGAACTTCAGTAAACTCAACATAATAGATTAAAGACGAAAGATTATTTTATTTGTGGGAAATTTTCCAAAGGAAGCCCTACTTCGCAAACTTGTTTTACTGGAGTAAAACTAAATTTTTTACGGCTTAAATAATTAATTTTCAATTTCAACCAGTTTTTGACGACACAGTAAATAGTTTTGTACTTCTTTAAATGTCGTTCGAATCAAGACTTCGCATGCTTGAATATAATAAATATATCACTCGATCCATTCTAATGAGTATTTGTGGTAACTGATTATGGATTTTGTCGTAAAACATTCAATTATATCAAAATCTATGTATTATCAAAAAACCCATGCGTTGGAACTCAAGCCGACAAAAAAGTGAGCCGACAGTAATATATCGACAATTCCAATTTTCCATTCTCATTTCATACAAATTGAAAAAAAACAAAGTCGGTCGGTGTTCACACTTCAGACCTATGGAGGTAAAATTTTGCGCTTTACCACTTTAAGCAAGCGGGAATGGGTCTGGAAGTTGTTCAGGTTTCATAAAAAAAATCTAGTCCACTTTGTTACAAATTTTTAACAAAGTTGTTCGCGGAAAAAAATTCTAGTTTCCGATAACATGTCACTTGCTTAGTTAGGTAAACGAAACGACATATAGAAAGTAAAAATGTGAAAATTCCATGTTTCAAAATATCTTTGCAGAATTGAAGAGTTTTAGGATCTCTCAATGTGGACTTGAATGAATTCCAGACGAGCTTGGTGCCATTTCCTCGGATTCACTATCCACTCGTAACCTATTCACCCATCATCTCGGCGGAGAAAGCTCAAATGACCGCTCTTTCTGTCAGTGAGATCACTTTGAACTGTTTTGAGCCGCAAGGTCAGATGGTCAAATGCAACCCAAGAGAGGGTAACGATCTTTTCCAATTTAAATTAAAAATTGCTGTCTGTTATTTCTTAAGTTATCTAATTCACTTTACCTAGGCAAATACATGGCTGTTTGCCTGCTATACAGAGGTGATGTGAGTTCAAATGATGTGCACAAGGTCATTAGCGTTCTGCAGAAGCGAAAGAACATCAGCTTTGTAGACTACATTTCCACTGGATTTAAAGTTGGTATAAACGGAACTGTTGCAAAGACTGTACCTGGTGGTGACTTGGCAGAAGTTCCCAGGTAATCAGATGTTACCGCCTTTCGCTGACTTTTATTTAGGTCAAATAGTTTGATTAACCCATCTACTCCGGAAGAATTTTAAAATTTCAAGGGAAAGGGGGCAATTTGAAAAAAAAACTATTTCTGACGCGCGCACATCAATCTGTTCAGCCTATTTTTTTCGCCCACTCAACTGCCGTCAAAATAACACGACACAGGGCAACCAATTTGGGTCAAAAAATGAAAAAAAAAATATGTCATCAAAACCATGCGATGGTTGTTCTTCTTAATACTAACTTATAGTTTATCTATTATCGAAATATAGCCAAAACAATACGCAGTTGTAACCATTTATTTTAGGTCAGTTTGCATGATCAGCAACACTTCGGCTATCGCAGATGCTTGGAGACGACTGTGCGAGAAATTCGATTTGATGTACCAGAAACGCGCCTTTGTACACTGGTATAACTAAAAAAAATTATATCAAAACAATAGTAGCCTATCAACTTATCAACCAATGGTACATTTTTAAAGGTATGTCGGAGAAGGAATGGAGGAAGCTGAATTCAATGACGCTAGAGAGGACCTGGCAGTGCTTCAACAGGACTACGAAGAAGTTGTAGCAAGTGAGAATGCTCAAGAGGACGAGGACGTATATTAATCAACAGAACATAATTAACAAGTTCTGTGGAATAACACTGCACAAGAATGATTGCTGTGCCCTTGCGAAACAAACTTGAAAATTTACTCCTGCAAGTTTCGTTAAAAAATCAAAAACAAGTAAAGATGTGGCTCAACAATTTTTTTTCACAAAAGGTAGAAATTTTTTTCACAAGGGCACCAACTAAAATTTCTATCTCAGGGTCGCGCTAAAAAACTTGAGAAATTTTACAGGAGTAGTATACTAAAGTTTCAATCCTTATTCTTCTATTAACAGCCAGTTCGCTCGCTTAACTCTCACGAAATTTAGCTATAACTTTTTAACACTTTTGCTCGACAGTGAGTCAACTTTTGAACAAATTTATGTCGTTCGAATCACGACTGAAAGCGCTTTAAATTGATATATCGACATACTCCGATAATGTTTTCCGGTATATGATTTTGCGTCAGAAACA